GGGAGGAAACATCAGCAATGATCTCAGGGAGGCGACTGCAGCTGTGCATCAACCTCAGGATCATCAGACACCTGACAGTCTTCACCTGACAGAACCCAAGAGCTCACACTCTGACCTCGACTATGTGAAAAGTTTGGAAAGGTTGCAGGAGAAAGCCTCTTCTCTCTAAAACAAACATGGCAGCAGAGCGTTGGTTAGCAAAGCTGCATCAGAATGACGCGCGAGCGCTCTGAAACCTCATTTTCTAACGGTTCGTGGAAACATTTGTACCATGCGATTCATGCAACACGCACGCCAGCCTGTGCAATCTGCATAAGCCTGCCCCCATTTCCTCTATATCACACATTTTCCTCCAGGTGAAGCAAAGACAGCAGCGATGATGTAAACGACAAGCTTGCATCTCTAAGGCAGGAAAACAACGAGCTTGTTCGTTGTGTCCCAGAGGAATCAAGAAAAGGCACAACCGTCCAGACTGCATCCATCACAGGGAAAATAAAATAATGGAGGCACCGCATGTCATCTGCTCTGACACTGGCTCAGGTGAAAAAGAAAGTTTGGACAAAAGTAAGAAAGAAAAGAAGAAGAAAACAGCTGGAGATGACAAACTCCAGATTCTCCAGCATCCAGGGACAGTGCAAAAATATTAGGCCGTCAGTGATGACACCCAGGAATAACAGAAGTTATTAGAGAAGCTGGGAGGAGGAATCCTGGAATATGTTTAAATTAAAAGTTTCATGCAATCTTCTAACGTTTTAGAGAATTATAAATAATTTTAAATTATAATTATTATTATAATTATTTAATTTTAAAGATGTTTAAATTCCCAGCCAGGCCTCAGTTTGTCATAATGTCATTATTTTAATATCCTGATTAATTATAAAGGTTTATATCGACATCACCATGACTCCTGTAAAGCATCGCGCCTCCCTCGTGCACTGACCTGCAGCGTCTTCTGCTGGCGTTTCAGCTTCCCGTCGATGTCGGCCTTGAAGCTGGTGAGGTTGTAGTGCAGCATTACGTGCTGCGAGTGCAGCCTCGTCTCCATCTCAGTCTGCTGCACCTCCACCTGCCTCTTGACCTCCCCGATGTTCTGAATCACTTCATCTAATCTGGCGTCCAACCGCTCCTCCACCCCATCATCACGCTCCTCCTGAAGAGTCATCTGATGCCCCGCCCCCAGCTGGCTGCTCTTCAGCTGGGCCACATCATGGGCCAGGTCACCCACCCGCTGGCTCAGCTGTTCCAGTGAGTGGTTAAAGCGCTCCATGACCGGCTGCAGCTGGGACCACACCCGGTCCATCATGTAGGGGAC